CACCTGATTGTGAAAACGCCTTTATCATGGCTAAAAGAGAAATTTCAGGAAATAACGTATTATGCGCTTTCGACCCAAATAAAGAAATATATTTAGCTACAGACGCCAGTCCAGTCGGGTTAGGAGCCGTCTTATCACACAAATTTGACAATGGGATCGAAAGGCCGATCGCATTTGCTTCCCGTTCTCTAACAAACGCAGAAAAAAATTACAGCCAATTGGATAAGGAAGCGACAGCTGTATATTGGGCTTGCAAGAAATTTTTCGACTATATTTATGGTCGAAAATTCACACTTATAGTAGATAACAAACCAATGATGCAAATACTCCAGCCAGAAAAAAGACTTCCAGTAATGACAGCAACACGACTATTACGATACGCACAATTTCTGTCTGGATTCGACTACAAAATAATACACAAGAAATCTGAAGAGCACGCCAACGCCGATTATTTATCCAGATGCCCAATACAAGAAAAAACAAATATAAACCTAATAGATGATGACTTTAACATAAACGAATTAACAATTAATAATTTAACTACTAACACTATTGACGCCGAAACAATACGAAAAGCAACGAACATAGACTCTGAATTGTCAAAACTAAAGGAAAAAATTTTAAATGGACAGATATACGATCCAGAAATTTCATTACATACAGGAATAATTTTTCGAGGCCAAAGGGTATATATACCAGCAAGTTTACAACACGAAATTTTAAAAGAATTACATGCTACACACATTGGGATGGAGAAAATGAAACTTTTAGCACGAAGACATTGCTATTGGTTTGGAATAGACAAAGATATAGAAACAACTGTAAAAAGCTGTGAAGAATGCAGCAAGATCAAAAATAACCAAACAAAAGCACCACTACACAATTGGGAAACACCTACAGAAAATTGGCAACGTGTCCACATGGATTATGCAGGACCATTTATAGGAAAACATTTTTTTATTGTAGTCGACGCAAAATCAAAATGGCCTGAATGTACAGTTCAAAAGTCTGCGCCAACCACCCAATCGACTATTGAGCAATTGAGAATCATATTTAGTAGATACGGATTACCAGAAATACTGGTGAGTGATAACGCAACTATTTTTAAATCCAGCGAATTTATAGAATTTTGCAAACGAAATGGTATACGACAAAGATTCTGCGCACCAGGTCACCCAGCAACAAATGGGCAAGCAGAACGATACGTTCAAACAATAAAAAACAAACTGAAATGTGCACCAGAAATCCATAAGAACACACAACAAAAACTTGACGAAATACTATTCAGATATAGAGCAACACCACTTGCGGATGGAGAGACACCTGAAGAAAAACTATTTGGGAAAAACTTACGAACCAAATTAGACTTATGGAAACCGGAAAAAGATGTAAAAAACAGAAGTGAACAACCTAAATTTGAAAAATATTATAACCTAGGTGAAAGAATACTGTCAAGAAACTACGCAAATTCAACGAAATGGAAATTAGGAACAGTCGTACAACGGCTGGGAAGAGTTCACTATCTTATAGAGCTAGATGATGGATATGTTATAAAAAGACATTATAACCAATTACGAGCTTGCGAAGTGGAAAGAAAAAGTAACAACGACAAGCAAAATTCTAATATTGAGAAACATGTCACATTCCGTATGGAACCAAAATTGATGGGAGAAAATAGCCAGAAAGAAAAAGTGGAAGAATCACGGGAAACACGTCCTGAAATTGAGGAAATTAAAAAGGACATACAGGAAGAAAGCATAATGGAGGAGCCAAAAGAAGTAAATACCCCCACGCAAACAAGGGAAACAGCTCCACTCCGAAGATCCGAACGGCAACGCCGCCCAGTGGAAAGATTAAATTTGTAATAGCGTTTAAATTCGAAGGGGAAGACTGTAATATACGCGCCATCTACCGACGCGTATTTGGAGCAAATAAGTAATACCAACTGTTAGTTTTTAATATTCATAGATTGTACATAACCTAAAATGAGAATACACGTTTTCATTTTTTAAATCAAGACTTTTATTGCAAATTACACAATAGAAACACAACAATTATAGTAGAAATACTATAATTCTAGTACGGTTGGCAACCCTGGGTGTAAGCTAGGGTGGCCCAAAAAAAAAAGAATATTTTTTTTCTTCTCGTCTCTTGTGAAAATATGTTGGTTTGTCATGTTTTAAGAGCCCTGTCAAAAGATCAGCACCATTAAAAATTTTTTAGTGGTCGATCAAGATTTTTAAAAATTACCAAAATCGTCAAAAATTGGATTTTTTTTTTATTTTAATTTTTTTTCTCGTTTCGATATTATTTTTTAATTTAAAAATAATAATGATTCTGAAAATTTCAAATCGATATTTTAATTTCTAAAGGTCGCTCAAGATTATTTTAACTTTTAAAGTAGAGTATTTTGAATGTTTTCGAGCGACCTCTGAATATAAATATCAACGAACTTTTAGCGACCTTTAGAAATCAAAATATTGATTTGAAATTTACAGAATTTTTATTATTTTCAACCTAAAAAATAATAATGAGACGAGAAAAAGAATTAAAATAAAACAAAAATTCAATTTTTGACGATTTTGAAAATTTTTAAAAATCTTGAGCGACCCCTACAAAATTTTTAATCGAGCTGATATTTTGAAAGGGCTCTTACAGCATGATAAACTAACATATTTTTACAAGAGACGAGAAGAAAAAAATATTCTTTTTTTTGGGCCACCCTAGTGTAAGCAAAGAACTAACCTACCTACCCCCATTCATGAATCCCAATTGAATGGGGTTATTACTAAGACCCAGGTTGAGGAGGATTCCGGATTGTATTTAGTTTTGGGTCAGTTCAATGTCCTCCAAAAACCCTTCCTAAACTAGACGTATGGCCCGACCCGGCTGACAAAAATCCGTGGAGCGGCCTTTACCATAGACACTGTCATCCACGACCTCCTAGGGTGGATATACCAGCCGGCGTAAAAACTTCGGATCCAACAAACACAGGTAATGCTGTGATTTGGAGGGATACGCAGAAGAACGGAAAGGGGGTAAAATAAACCTGCGAGATTAGTGGAGGATAATGTCTTTGGGGCCTGCCATACGTTCCCATACTCATACTCACTTAAATCTAAAAAATGTCATGATACCTGCAAGGTATAACATCGTAAAAATGAACCATTGGTGTATAAAGGCCTATACACTGTTTGTCATTTTTGATATAAAATACAATCCCAATTATTTTTTTATTGACATCTACCACTTTTACGGTTAGATCATGGAGCTCCAAAAAAATAAAAGGCAATCAGGGTGAAAATTGCCAAATACAGTCATTAGGGCATACATATGCGGGAAGTAATGTGGGATTAAAATGTTAATGTTTATATTGGTAGTTTTTAAATTGCGAGACCACTAGAGGGTCAACTAAAGTTTCTCGAGTACGAGTACCTACTAACATAAAATAGGTACAAGAAATATATCCAAAAGTTTAACAAAATCTAACTGTTTTTTTTAAACAGTAAGTTTTTTGGTAAAATCAGTACGTTTTTTCATTCCAAATCAGTTTTGTGGTCTGGCAACGCTGAGTACATACCAAAACTGGTATTTTCCAAAGGCCCTCTTCAAAATTAGCGATCCTTCCGATCTATAGTCGATAATGTTTTATTTTTCCTCTTTAACCAAATATTGTAAAACCAATTAAATTTAAACAATGTGCAATGTCAATAAACAATGTCATTAATATTATGTTACTTAAACTTATTAATAGTATGTTACTGCACCGCTGCACAATAGCCCGGTAACGGGAATCCTAACAATAAAGGTGGGAGAGACTAAAAAACCACTGTTAATTAATTAAATTTAAACAATGTGCAATGTCAATAAACAATGTCATTAATATTATGTTACTTAAACTTATTAATAGTATGTTACTGCACCGCTGCACAATAGCCCGGTAACGGGAATCCTAACAATAAAGGTGGGAGAGACTAAAAAACCACTGTTGATAGATAGGGTTCGCTGAGTCTCTTCCACCTTTACCGTTTAGTTTCCCGTTCCCGTTACCGGGCTGTTGTGCAGCGGGCTTTAAACTTATTAATAGTATACATAACATGTTACTTATACTTATTTTATTATGTTATAACAGTAAGTATACTTACTTGATTGTTACTCTCTCGAATATGAACGAACACGTTCAATTATGCTTTATTTTTACTTTTAACTTATTTTTTTTTATTATATAATGATAAGTTTTTATTTTATGTATAGTGCAATAAAATACTGTCAACTAAATATGTTTTATAAAATGATATTTACGATATTTAGATACTATAAACAAAATGTTACCAAGAGGAAATGCACGTGAGCAAGTTTCTTGGCGTTTTCAAAAGACCACACAAGGGATCGAGAACTGCGTCATATTTGAAAAGGGCTGACTACTCAGTTTTCTCTGTAACACTCTTACAGTCTGCTCTTGTTATTTTGCTACTCACAGTCTGCTCTTGTTATTTTAGTTAGTTATTCATTAGTAAGGCCCGGATTTTTAGGTCAAAAAGTGATAAAAGGTTCCTAAATTAGGTGATATTTTTAATAAAATAGGTATTTTAGGTACCTATATTTTATGTACTTATAAGTACATAAAATATAGGTACCTAAAATACCTATTTTATTAAAAATATCACCTAATTTAGGAACCTTTTATCACTTTTTGACCTAAAAATCCGGGCCTTATTCATTAGCATTCAACCGAGTATCATCTCTGTATTAAAATAAATACATCTAAACGCTCCTGTTGCACAAAAATCCAGCCAACCAAATTCGCATACGGAGAATGGTTTCATGGATTAGTTTCAAGGATTCAATCCTTAATGCGCGATCACGATTTGTATTCGAACACGGTAATTGGCCTTTTTTTTGCTAGCTCAAGTTTTTTACAAACATTTTATACTTAATTATACAACTTTGTTATATTATGGGAGTAGGTGATGGTCGTGCAGAAAATAAAATAAACTAGATTAGTTTTCATTAAACTTTATAAAAATAATACAATGCCAAAACGTTTACTAAAATTCCAAAAATAAAATTATTATGGAGATAAAGAAGGTGTAACAAAGAAAAAGTTGTTATTAAAAAGTTTATCCATTACAAGTACTTCTTTTATGTAAGTTAAAAGGCATTTTTTTGTAATATTTTTTGTAAAATTAGACCTAAATAGTTTAATATTATGTTCACAGTTATATTGTAAATAAAAGATCACACCATACACAAAAAAATAGGCAAATTAACAAAAAAATTACAAATAATTTTAATGAAGATATAATGTATAAACGCAAACTGGTAATATAAACTACAAAAGACAATGTGAACTAAACGACAATTTTAGTATTTTACTAGTAAATTTCTTAAATTTACCTTCAATTTAATAAATTATAGTGAAAAAAGTTTTGCTTTACTCACTTAGTCTACATTGTAATGATACATTGTCTTATGAAAAAGCAATAATAATTTACAAATCATAATTTATATAAACCCATCTAAATTTAAATAGTGCACTTTAAACCAATAATAAAACATTTAAAAGTGCAGATATAATATGGTTTTTAACATAAGTTATATTTTACATATGGTACTTCAACATCATTGCCATCCATGTCATTACAGCATAATTCAAATACAAGAGCCTTAACATGGGGTTCTATTTTTTTCTTGGATACTCTCTTTACAACCTCTGACATATTTAAACCCAGTCTCTCTTGTGCTTTGGCCTTGGCCATGAAAAATGAATATAACATGCACACCCCTTGAGAAAGCATAGTTATTTCTAAATTATGTTGGTCTTTAAAATATTGGAGGAATTCACAAAGAGTCATTTCACCTTGCACTTCAAATCTGTCCCACAATGTCCATTCTTGATTACAGTATTCCAGTTTAGGAGCAGCAATTGGTTCAGAAAATCCAAAGAATGGTAATGCCAAATTAACAAAGCCATTTTTAAAGGGAGATAAACTTTTTTTGTTTCTTACAAGTTTAAATAACTCTAAACATACCAGACCCGCCACTACGGACGTTGTAGTAGCTATGGCAGGAATAATTTTCCCTGCAATTAATTTTGACTTGTGTCTATCAGCTGGTACAATTTTGTAATTAGTGGCACGAAGGTTAGATGCAGCAACAATGAAGTCCATATGGAAGTTTGAATCGTCGTCCTTTTCAAATTCTATTGGCATTAATCGCAAAGTTCCAAACTCTGGAGCAGGCGGTAGTTCTTCTCTTATTTGGCTTACCCGATCCAAATCAACATTTGAACCATTGCTCATTCCCATTTGAAAATCGGTTACGGAAATTTTTACACCTGATTTTGGAACAAATTCCGGTACCTGTAATTGGTTGTTTACTTTAGAAAATTTTATCAATCAAACAATATACAGCATACAAAATTTTTTTTAGATAAATTAATTTTATATTTAAAGAAAATTAGGTAATATAAGTACCATTAAAAATATTGTGTCGTTTAGGTTAAAACCAAGGCAGCTTTTAAGTAGAGGTGGGTTGCGATTTTGCAAACTGCTTTCATGTCACTGATCCGGTGGCGTCACAATCGCCAACTGCTCCGCAGTAGTAAAAATCGCAGCGAAATTTTGGGGCAATTTAAAATATAAATTTTAAATATACCAGGCCGCCGCGGCTGTTGGTCTCTGGAGCAGCGGAATTGTTCGACATGTATTTATTAGTATGTGATTGAACTTATTGGTAGATGACTCGTAAAAAACCTTTTAAGCTTAAACTTAACAAAAAAACACATATCATTATTTTTAATGTAGTTATCAAATATCTATCTGGCATCATCGGATTAATTTAATTCGTGGTAATACGATGGTGAATCTTACATTTCTTTCGAAAAGCAGCGCTATGAGTCACAGAGTTAGGATGCTTCGCCGTTCGCACTTTCGCCAGTGCTTTGTTTCTATCTTGGAACTGCTCAGTTAGACAAAACTGCTCCGGAGCGTCGCATGGCTCAGAAAAATTGCTGCTTTTGTCAGTGTTCCGGCCGCAACAGTCGCATAACATCGCAGCTCTTGAAAAATCGCAAACCGGCCCACCTCTACTTTTAAGCCTTGCATTAGTGGTAAACAGTACAGTGAAATGAACCTTTAAAAAACTGGAACATTTTAATAATGAACTACACACTTAAATTGAATTTATTTGAGAGTAGTTATTTATGTCATAAGGCTAAGAAGCGAGTATTTTTGTGGTGAGCCTAAAGTTTAAATGCCAACGCGTAGCGAAGGCCTACAATTAAGCACAAAAAGTCAATTCTCAGCCGCATGGCATACAACATTTTATCTTCAAGGCATAATTTTAATTGTTAAACAATACAAAAACGTGCAATTAAAATAATTATTAAGCGTATACAGTGAGGTTGGATTAGATCTGTCAGTAGTCGAATTTTTCGATTGGTCGAAACTGTTTTTTACAGATTGGGCGTTAATACTATATTGTTCAACGATTGAGAAAGTTGGCAATTTCCATAAAGATGAAAAATTTTGACATGAGCCGAAGGCGAGTGGAGTAATTCATACGAATGGAAATGGCCATTTCTCAAGAGTAAAAGTAAACACTATAATTTTTTTAATTAAATTAAAGAATTTAGTACAAGTTTGTGTAATTACCATAAAGACAGATTCGATGACAAATGTCAGTGTCAATTAATTTTTAAGAAAATAATGAACGTCATAGTAATGATAAATACCTGGATAAAATTAAAATCTCGTCGTCTCATTGGACAGTAACCGTGGAGAAAGAGATCAAATTTCTCCACAGTTTAAAACTGGGCCACTTTCTCAATTAAAAACGTATTGTGATTGCAACAGGGATTTTTTGATTGTTTGGTTTATTACTAACATTATGGTAACAAAATTAAGAAAATAATTGTGAGAACTGTCAATGCTAAATAAAAAAAATAAAAAAAAAGGTTGATAATGTTGTGTTGTAGATAAAGTAATGTACATTCCTCGATTGGTAAAGCAATTACGCACTCACTCTTACGGGCGTCGTGCCTAACTTCTTCCGCTAGTGCGTACATTGCTACTTACCACTATTGTTATGTAAACTACTATTATCCGATTGGTCTTAATTATTTTTACAGCCTAAGAGATTTTTGATTGAAGAATAAAAATATTTATTTGACAATAGATAAAGTATTAGTAGCTGTAAAAAACAACATTTTATTTAACTTCGTTCGTACATCTGTCTGTCTTTCCGGTTGAAAATTTGATAGTTTTACAAGGATATTATTATTTAAATTATATAGAATACCTATGCTGCCGTGCTTAATGAAAACGCCGTAACCAACAATTTTGCGATTTTTGTTTTACGGCATTTTCTACTAGAACAATTCATCCTGCGTCTATCCCCGGTACTCAAAAAACCGTATCTATATATATACGGTTTTTTGAGTACCGGGGATAGACACAGGAAGAATTGTTCTAGTAGAAAATGTCGTAAAACAAAAATCGCAAAATTGTTGGTTACGGCGTTTTCATTAAGCACGGCAGTATGGGTCCAGCAATTTTGATTCTTATTTTATTAATAGGGTCTAGCTATGGCAGTAATTCATCAATTATTAGCCCAAGGAATTTAATATTTCTAGAATATTTTAGACTCTCACCTGCCACATCTAATGGTTGCCTATCAAATAAGTTACGCTTATAGATGTACATGTACGAGGACTTGTCAATATTTAAAGTTAGCTTATGAGATTTAAGCCAACTCAAAATTATCTTTAAGTCACAAACAATATTTCTCCTAATTGAGTCATAAGTGTCTGAGAAGTATACTAAGGTTGTGTCGTCGGCATTATAATCTTATGTTTTCCTTAAGCTTTAAATTTGTTATTGAATTTATAAATACTATACAAAGTGTGGGTCCTAATTTAGACCCTTGCGGTACTCCAAATTTTATTTCAATTTGGTCACTGCTTATTTTGTTAATTACAACTGCCTGAGTTCTATTCCTTAAATATTCCTCAAACCATTTCACTCTTATACCTAACAGTTTTAATTTTTTTAAGAGTATAGAATGACTCATTGTATTAAAGGCTTTACAAAGGTCCAGCGACACCAGCGCGCACTTATATGATTTGTTTATGTTCATTTAAAATCTGTTACTAAGTCCACTGCAGCAGAGCTGGTATCGCTGCATCCGGCCTAGTTAAACTAATTTTGGGCCGCTGATTTCAAAAATATCACTCGTTTTGCTCTAGGACGTCTAGGATTTAAAATAATTGCGTAATAAAATGCTCTGATCAATCACCTCAAAATGTAAGTTTTTTTGTTATTATTTTAATTATTTATTAAATTATTAGGCCTTAAATTTATCTTGAATGTTCTGGACTAATCGGTATACGTTAAATAGATAATAATTAACTTGATGGTATGGCATTTTAAATACTAAAACTAAAATTATACATATTGCAGTTTATTTGAATTATTGAATTGAAAAGGCAACAAAGTAAAGAAGTTTCGGCATGAAAATTATCTTCGACAATGCCACTCATGTCAATTTAAACCTATTAAAAACTGTCAAAAATACGGTTTGCTGACTGATAAAGAGGAAGGAACACAAAATTTATGCAAGTGACTAAAAATGGCGAATATTTTTCTATTTACTTTTTTCATAATAACGGAAATTGAATAAAAAAAATGCCAAAGTGACACAAAAATGACTTAATTTTTTTACTGGTGGAATTTTCATAACAAATACCACTCGATGTTCGATTGAGCAGGACATTTTTTGGACTTTTAAATCAAAGCTTGGTGGTTTGTTAATTTGAAAATTCAAATTAATACGTCAAAAGTCAAGACTATTATTTGATATTTTTTATTCACATTAAACCCACAAAATTCAATGCATTGCATAATTTTGATTTAAGGGCAATCCGACTGTTTTTTAATATTAAATTTATTAAATCGTATCAAATATCCAATTGAATTTTACTGTTAATATAATTTACCCATATTATCATCCTACGTCTTTTGCTGCAAATTTCAGAATATGTCTTGAGTACTTTAGGCATGATGTGAATAAAAAATATCAAATAATTGTCGAAGAGTAATGTTTATACCGAAACTTGTTTACTTTGGTGCCTTTTCAATTTAGTAATTAAAAAAACGACACAAAAATTTCAAAAAATGATAATTTTTAGAAAAAAATACATTAGTATTTTAGTTTTGGTATTTAAAATGCTATTCCTTTGGTCTAAATATTTTCTGAGGGATATAATACTACTACTGCTACAATGGAACAAAAAATTCAAAATATACACAGTGCTAGAAACATAGGTCAGCGAAGAATTGGACACACTGCTGTTGTATGGTTTAATGAACTGCCAGAATATATAAAAAAATGTGAATTTACTATGTACTTTTACCTCTTTATTTAAATTGTACCTATTGAACAAGCGAAATGTATCCACATAATTATGTTTGTTACCTGTTATGGATTCTTTTGTAATCTTTTTGGGATATTAAATAAACTCCTGGACAAAATTAACGCAACATTATAAATTTGCCACACTTTTTTTGAATTTACGATCCGATTTTAATGATTTTTGTTTTGCATTGTAGGTTGGTTCCTTGACAATGTCATAATTTGTGGAGTATACTAGCAACCGAAACATATAACAGTTGACATTAGACGGTAGGTCCATCTTTCGCCAACATTTTCTTTTTTGGTTTACTTCATTATCTCTGTTATTAAAGGAGATACGCCGTTTTATACCGTAACATGTTTTTATAGACTTTATTATTCAAAACAATCATTGTTTTCAAGTAGGCTATGGACCTTTTCTAACATTTCAGGCGATGTATCAATATTGAATACATTATTTGTTATCTGTATAACTGCTCGCTTTGATAAATGCATTATCCTGCATAAATAAACTATTCGGTCCCAAAAAAGGAACAAATGACATTACAGGTTCTATTATAATGTTTTATATATAATAATCGGCGTACATTGATCTTACACGTATAGGGACTAACTCTGTGCGTCCGTTGAAGCATATTCCTCCCCAAAACATTACAGAGCCTCCACCAAACGGAATTTTAGGAGAGATATTGCAACTTGCAAATCTTTCTCCTGCCCTTCGCCAAACACGTTCACACCATCAGGAGAATTGAAACTGACTCTGGTTTAATCAGAAAATAAAACCTCCTTCCAATCATTAACAGTCCAATGTTTAGAGATGGGAAAATTCCCATTTGACGAAAATTCCCGGAAACTTTCCATCGAAAATTCCCGAAATTTTCCGAAAGTTTCAAAAAAATTTTTTTTATTGCGAAAATATTTTTTTTTATGCCAGGGATTTGCAAAAATA